AAGAAGAAGAAGAAGAAGAAGTTAGTAAACAAAATATAAATAATAAAAATATACCAAAATAAAAATCTTTATAAAACATATTATAAATCAAAAACAAAAAGGAGAGTGGAATAGAAAAGATTGGAAAAAACAGACAAATTAAAGCAAAAAAAAAACGTGAAAGAGAGGGGAAGAGTAAAAGAAGTAAGAAAAATCAAAAGAAATATTAAGAAGTGTAGAGAAAGAAGAGAAGAAAGAGAGGGGATGAGAGAGAAAAACAGAGAAAGAGTAAAAGGAATAGAGAAAGGAAATGAGAAAGAAGGGGAAAGAATACCCAGAAACGGAGGAGAAGAAGAAGAAAAAGAAAGAGAAAATGAGAAAAGGAAAGACAGAAAACTAGTTATATATATGTTTTATACAGACCGAAATCGATCCGAATATACCAAATAAGTGCCACATTACTGCCCAACGAAGAGCTTCAATTTTGCCGAAAATTTAGGCGGCAAATATTTCCAAACCGATATCGTCCGCAAATTACAAAAAAGTTTAACTCAACGCGAAGTTTTTGTTGGCAAATTATACGGACCGAAAACGGTCCATAAATAAATAATTAAGCGCCAATCTTGAAAATTTTAATTTTCGATGAAATTTTCTAAGGGCAAAACTGGTGAGAAAGCAATCGGTTATATTCGGACCGTTATCGGTATGTATATATAAGTTAAAACTTTGTTAATGATAAATATGAATTAAATTACTTAAATTACTTATATTCAGACCGTTGTTAGTCTGAATATATTGTAAAGAATCCAGAAACTTCTACTTGTGCACATTTTTATTCTTTTTATTTAAGGACATCACCATCTTCCCGTGCCTCAAATCCGTTCTTACAAAAACCAATTGTGTAAACATCGACACTACAGTCTTTTGGAACACCAGAACCATCGATTCCATGCCTGAAATTATCTAACGATGATGCAGGATAGAATCGTTGTAAAACCTCGAATGTACAAGTATAAGGTTATCAGATATAAGGTTATCCACTTCGGCATGCAAACATTCGGAATGATATGGTTGAACACGAGAGTATAATGAATCGAGGATGAGATAAGGAAAACAATGGAAAAGCTGCAGGTAGGTATATATTGGGATCAAAACCGGTCCATATATCTATATACGGACTAGGATCGGTCTGTATATATGTTTGTCATGATTTTTTTAATTATAAAGATAAATTAAATTCAATGTAAAGATATATACAGACCGATTTTGGTCGGAATAGAGGCACAGAATGTTGAAGCTTCTAGGCCTTTAAATTTTCAGACTGTTTTCGGTCTAAATATGATGCAAAAAATCCAGAACCTTCTACCTGTGCACCTTTTTATTCTTTTCATTTAAGGATATCACCATCTTCTTGTGCCCCAAATCCATTCTTACGAAAACCAATTGCGTAAACATCGACACTACAGTCTCTTGGAACCCTGGAACCATCGATTCCATACCTGAAATTATCTAACGATGATGCGAGATAAAATCGTTGTAAAACCTTGAATGTACAAGGTTATTAGATATAAGGTTATGTAATGTTTTTTCAGAGCCACAAGCAAGTAAATTTGATTTCTTTTTTGTGTAAGGTTATCCACTTAGACATGCAAACATTCAGAACGATAGGGTTGAAAATGAGAGTATAACGAATCGAGGATGAGATAAGGAAAACAATGGAAAAGCTACATGTGGGCATATATTGGGACCAAAATCGGTCTATATAGATATATACGGACCGGTATTGATCCGTATATTTGTCCTTCATGGTTTTTTTTAAATTATAAAGATAAATTAAATTCGGTGTAAAGATATATACAGACCAGTTTTGGTTGGAATAGAGGCACAGAATGTAGAAGCTTCTAGGTTTTTAAATTTTCAGACTGTTTTCGATCCAAATATGATGCAAAAAATCCAGAACCTTCTACCTGTGCGCCTTTTTATTCTTTTAATTTAAGGATATCACCATCTTCCCATGCCCCAAATCTGTTCTCACGAAAACCAATTGCGTAAACATTGACACTACAGTCTCTTGGAACCTTGGAACCATCAATTCCATGCCTAAAATTATCTAACAATGACGCGAGATAGAATCGTTGTAAAACCTTGAATGTACAAGCATAAGGTTATTAGATATAAGGTTACGTAATGTTCTTTTAAAGCCACAAGCAAGTAAATTTGATTTTTTTGGGTAAGGTTATCCACTTCGGCATGCAAACATTCGGAATGATATGGTTGAAAACGAGAGTATAACGAATCGAGGATGAGATAAGGAAAACAATGAAAAAGCTGCAGGTGGGTATATATTGGGACCAAAATCGGTCCATATAGATATATATGGACCGGTATTGGTCCGTATATTTGTCCTTCATGGTTTTTTTTTAATTATAAAGATAAATTAAATTCGGTATAAAGATATATACAGACCGGTTTTGATCAGAATAGAGGCATAGAATCTAAAAGCTTCTAGGCCTTTAATTTTTCAAACCGTTTTTTGTCCGAATATGATGCAAAAAATCCAGAACCTACTACTTGTGCACCTTTTTATTCTTTTCATTTAAGGACATCACCATTTTCCCGTACCCCAAATCCGTTCTTACGAAAACCAATTGCGTAAACATCGACACTACAGTCTCTTAGAACCCCGGTGTAGTCACAAAATCTGCAAAATCAAATAATATGTATTGATTTGCAAAATAAATACAAATTATTATAAACTTGAAGAAAAATGGGAAACAATCTTTGATTTAGAGTGCTGCAGTGCACGTGCGAACACCTCCTCATCTAGAAGATCATTTGACAACTCCTATTCAGCTGGAATTGGATGATCTGCAAGAAAATTAGCTAAGGCTTGTCCTTTTATCGCCTTTTGTGGCACATAAATTATTTCAAATTCAGACAATAATAGTGCCCATTTTGCTAATCTACCAAAGAGCACCGGCTTTGACATGATGTATTTTAAAGGGTCTGCTTTTGAAATAAGATGTACAAAATGAGCCAACATATAATGTCTCAATTTCTTCGTAGAGAAGATCAGGGCTAGGCAAATCTTCTCAATGGGTGAATAATTCACTTCTGCCCTTACGAGAGTACAGTTGCTCATATGATGTTTTAATCTCTATGACATGGAACAAAGCTGAGGTTGCCATGTCTGCGATTTGGAAATTGATGTGGATCATTGCTGACTCTGATAGGCTTGCCATAGGCCTCTTTACAATTATTTAATTCCACTTTCTTAATGATGTAGGACAGCACCCACTCAAACAATGAAGTTGGAAGTAATCTGTTGTGCAAAGTCATCTTGAAGTGTATCCAAGTGACAGGTATGTTGTCTTTTGCTAGTCCTAAAGGTAGTTGAATCAAACCATGTCTCAATTGAGAAAATTTCTGACTCTGATTCCTCAGATGAAGAACACACTCGGATATTTTTTTGCTGAATCCTTTCCAAGGCTGAAACTCGTAGTTGTGGAGTCCATTCAACCTGGCGCAATGATGGATTTCACCTCATCTGAGATTTGAAGATGCAGAAAGCAATGTTGTTTCGACCATCTTTGTCAACAATCTTGTAGGCACCATTACTATAAACTTCTGTCACGATATAAGGACAAGATTTTTACTAGGGTAAATATATTTTTATTTTGACTTTTTTTTTTAATGCCTACACCCAAAACCATCGATTCCATGCCTGAAATTATCTAATGATAACGTGAGATAAAATCGTTGTAAAACCTTGAATGTACAAGTATAAGGTTATTAGATATAAAGTTATTAGATATAAAATTGCTAGATATGAGGTTACGTAATGTTCTTTCAGAGCCATAAATAAGTAAATTTGATTTTTTTGTGTAAGGTTATCCAGTTCGACATGCAAACATTCGAAATGTTATGGTTAAAAATGAGAGTATAATGAATTGAGGATGAGATAAGGAAAACAATGGAAAAGATGCAGGTGAGTAT